AATTCATAGATGAAGTAGTGGAAATTTCCTCTCATTGAAAACGAGATATCAATGCCACGTCGCTATTAATTTTGCCAGCTAAATCTGTTGGAAACTCTTAATACTTCACTCTTTGGACTTTAAACATCATAAAACCATTCCACTTGAATTAACTTAATTATTAGTACCAAAATAGAGTAAATGTGACCTTTCTACCGCTTCTTGACATGTGGACGAGAGAGCCAAGGCGTCAGTGGAGGAGTGCCAGGAGTCAGCCATACTGCTAGACCAGGTCGCTGGAGCAGAATAGTTCCAATAATTCTCCCTTGGACGAAGTGTTATGGAGAGTAAATTAGTGCTTCTTCCATCATCAACACGCAGTCAACATCTAAACAAGGAAAGTGTCTTTCCAAAATCTTATCTAGTCATTCCTGGCCAGTAATGTTAGGTAGATAAGATTACTTTTCCGGTTAGAACTCGTGGCAGCGACATAACCCAGGTAATTATTCCTTGGTCCTTATCTTATAAGTTGGCAATATTTCCTCTGATATAGCTATCATATATATAGGATTGCTGCTATTATTGCCAGTGGCCTTTGAGAGGAAGAAGAGAAGAGGGCACAGAAGAGTTACTTGGTCCACCAGTACCTGGTGTTGATACCAGCCTCAACCACCAGCATTATTTGGTGTGGTCATCCTTGTTTATACCTGCTGGACCAGGCCTACCATGCAGGTATTGTTTATACCTGCTGGACCAGGCCTACCATGCAGGTATTGTTTATACCTGCTGGACCAGGCCTACCATGCAGGTATTGTTTATACCTGCTGGACCAGGCCTACCATGCAGGTATTGTTTATACCTGCTGGACCAGGCCTACCATGCAGGTATTGTTTATACCTGCTGGACCAGGCCTACCATGCAGGTATTGTTTATACCTGCTGGACCAGGCCTACCATGCAGGTATTGTTTATACCTGCTGGACCAGGCCTACCATGCAGGTATTGTTTATACCTGCTGGACCAGGCCTACCATGCAGGTATTGTTTATACCTGCTGGACCAGGCCTACCATGCAGGTATTGTTTATACCTGCTGGACCAGGCCTACCATGCAGGTATTGTTTATACCTGCTGGACCAGGCCTACCATGCAGGTATTGTTTATACCTGCTGGACCAGGCCTACCATGCAGGTATTGTTTATACCTGCTGGACCAGGCCTACCTTGCAGGTATTGTTTATACCTGCTGGACCAGGCCTACCATGCAGGTATTGTTTATACCTGCTGGACCAGGCCTACCATGCAGGTATTGTTTATACCTGCTGGACCAGGCCTACCATACAGTAAGATAAGGCCGCCCTATTTTAATTGCTAATATATGTAGTTTAATACTGTAGTAAATGTTAGTCAATCAATAATTTGATTGACTACATATAAACAACATAACCCCCCCCCCCATTAATATGTAATGGAGTCGATTTGTGAGAATTTTCAGAAATACAGTCCACTAAACATCACACAATTTGCCATCGAAATATATAAATTAACATATATATAAATTCTATATAAAATCATATCAATTAAATAAATATAAAACTCACAAGTCGGTTCCCAACAGGACTTCCACGCCGGCCCTGCAGAATGTTCTCTCTCTCTCACGTGAGATGTAACTGGCGTCCGGAAGGACCCATTGTCCAGGTGTCTATAGAAGATATGGTCAAGTTTGCCAGTATGGCATGCCCGTCAGTGTGTGTTGAATATTGTGCCTGTAGAACCCAGCTATTAGCTCCTCGACCCCGCCTTTCAAGCCAATTTATTTTCTCCGCTATAATGTCTACTACATGTATTTATCTCTAACACACACACACACACACACACACACACACACACACACACACACACACACACACACACACACAAGGTATAATCTGGGAGAGGAAATTCTTCAGGAGTCAGAGAAGGAAAAAGACTTGGGGGTTGATATCACGCCAGACCTGTCTCCTGCAGCACATATCAAGCGGATAACATCAGCGGCATATGCCAGGCTGGCCAACATACGAACGGCATTCAGAAACTTGTGTAAAGAATCATTCAGAACTTTGTATACCACATATGTCAGGCCAATCCTGGAGTATGCAGCCCCAGCATGGAGTCCATTTCTAGTCAAGGATAAGACTAAACTTGAAAAGCTTCAAAGGTTTGCCACCAGACTAGTACCCGAGCTGAGAGGTATGAGCTACGAGGAGAGACTGCGGGAATTAAACCTCACTTCGCTGGAAGACAGAAGAGTTAGGGGGGACATGATCACCACATTCAAAATTCTGAAGGGAATTGATAGGGTAGATAAAGACAGTCTATTTAACACAAGGGGAACACGCACAAGGAGACACAGGTGGAAACTGAGTGCCCAAATGAGCCACAGAGACATTAGAAAGAATTTTTTTAGTGTCAGAGTGGTTGACAAATGGAATGCATTAGGAAGTGATGTGGTGGAGGCTGACTCCATACACAGTTTCAAGTGTAGATATGACAGAGCCCAATAGGCTCAGGAATCTGTACACCAGTTGATTGACGGTTGAGAGGCGGGACCAAAGAGCCAGAGCTCAACCCCCGCAAACATAACTAGGCGAGTACAACTAGGTGAGTACACACACACACCGTGTGTAGCCTCCTACTACACCTCCGTGTAGTAGGAGGCTACAAGATGACCTAGGTAGACTAAGTGAATGGTCCAACAAATGGCTGTTGAAGTTCAACCCGAGTAAATGCAAAGTAATGAAACTAGGCAGTGGAAACAGGAGGCCAGACACAGGATACAGAATAGGAGATGAAGTACTTAATGAAACAGACAGAGAGAAAGATCTAGGAGTTGATATCACACCAAACCTGTCTCCTGAATCCCACATAAAGAGAATAACGTCTGCGGCATATGCGAGGCTGGCTAACATCAGAACGGCGTTCAGGAACCTGTGTAAGGAATCATTCAGAATCTTGTACACCACATATGTAAGACCAATCCTGGAGTATGCGGCCCCAGCATGGAGCCCGTGCCTTGTCAAGCACAAGACGAAGCTGGAAAAAGTCCAAAGTTATGCTACTTGACTAGTCCCAGAACTAAGAGGCATGAGTTATGAGGAAAGGCTGCGGGAAATGCACCCTACGACACTGAAAGACAGAAGAGTAAGGGGGGGGGGACATGATCACAACCTACAAAATCCTCAGGGGAATCGACCGGGTAAACAAGGATGAACTACTCAACACTGGAGGGACACGAACAAGGGGACACAGGTGGAAACTGAGTTCCCAAATGAGCCACAGAGACATTAGAAAGAACTTTTTCAGTGTCAGAGTAGTTAGTAAATGGAATGCACTAGGAAGTGATGTGGTGGAGGCTGACTCCATACACAGTTTCAAATGTAGATATGACAGAGCCCAGTAGGCTCAGGAATCTGTACACCAGTTGATTGACGGTTGAGAGGCGGGACCAAAGAGCCAAAGCTCAACCCCCGCAAGCACAATTAGGTGAGTACAATTAGGTGAGTGCACACAGGAAGGAAGTGTTTAGGAAGTGATGTGGTGGAGGCTGACTCCATACACAGTTTCAAGTGTAGATATGATAGAGCCCAATAGGCTCAGGAATCTGTACACCTGTTGATTGACGGTTGAGAGGCGGGACCAAAGAGCCAGAGCTCAACCCCCGCAAACACAACTAAGTGAGTACAACTAGGTGAGTACACACACACACATACACACACACACACACACACACACACACACACACACACACACACACACACACACACACACACACACACACACACACACACACACAGAATTCTGAAAAGAATCACCTGAGGACCACATAAAGAATATTGTGCGAGGAGCCTATGCCACGCTTTCTAACTTCAGAATTGCTTTTAAATACATGGATGGCGATATACTAAAGAAATTGTTCACAACTTTTGTTAGACCAAAGCTAGAATATGCAGCGGTTGTGTGGTGCCCATATCTTAAGAAGCACATCAACAAACTGGAAAAGGTGCAAAGACATGCTACTAAGTGGCTCCCAGAACTGAAGGGCAAGAGCTACGAGGAGAGGTTAGAGGCATTAAATATGCCAAAACTGGAAGACAGAAGAAAAAGAGGTGATATGATCACTACATACAAAATAGTAACCGGAATTGATAAAATCGATAGGGAAGATTTCCTGAGACCTGGAACTTTAAGAACAAGAGGTCATAGATTTAAACTAGCTAAACACAGATGCCGAAGAAATATAAGAAAATTCACTTTCGCAAACAGAGTGGTAGACGGTTGGAACAAGTTAGGTGAGAAGGTGGTGGAGTCCAAGACCGTCAGTAGTTTCAAAGTGTTATATGACAAAGAGTGCTGGGAAGACGGGACACCACGAGCGTAGCTCTCATCCTGTAACTACACTTAGGTAATTAACACTTAAGTAATTAACACACACACACATACACACACACACACACACACACACACACACACACACACACACACACACACACACACACACACACACACACACACACAGTCTATTTAACACAAGGGGCACACGTACAAGGGGACACAGGTGGAAACTGAGTGCCCAAATGAGCCATAGAGATATTAGAAAGAACTTTTTTAGTGTCAGAGTGGTTGACAAATGGAATGCATTAGGAAGAGATGTGGTGGAGGCTGACTCCATACACAGTTTCAAGTGTAGATATGATAGAGCCCAATAGGCTCAGGAACCTGTACACCAGTTGATTGACAGTTGAGAGGCGGGACCAAAGAGCCAGAGCTCTACCCCCGCAAGCACATTTTGGTGAGTGCACACATCCCCAGGAAGCAGCTCAATGGAGCTCCCAGTTACTTATTTACTGCTACGTGAACAGGGCCATCAGGTGAAAGAAACAATACCATGTATTGAGTGTGCATTATTAATATTAAAAGGCACGGTGTGTGTGTGTGTGTCCACCATTCTACACAGTCATTCTGGTGTAAAACTCCGAAAGGTTTGTCATGCACGACTTCCCAACCGTGAACGTGTTGTCAGAACCACGTCAGGTAGTTGGGTAATGTGCTAACTCTGGCCCCTAGTCTTGGCCCTAACCTTGGCCCTGGCCCTCGCCCAGGGCCTGGCCTTGGGCCTAGTCTTGGCCCTGGCCCTGATAGCTGGCAGCGCGGGTGCTCACCTCCCGCTCACCTTTATCCCTGTATATCCTTGCTAGTCATGAGCCAATATATATATCCCTCCACGCCGCGTGACGAGGGTAAAATTATGGTGTTTTCTGTACACGTGACATCTGTGACGTCACCGTTACGCTCTCGTTCTTGCTGCACCTGAAGCCTTGCACCTGGAGCCCTGCACCTGGAGCCCTGCACCTGGAGCCGTGCACCTGGAGCCGTGCACCAGGAGCCCTGCACCAGGAGCACGGCACCAGGAGCCGTGCACCTGGAGCCCTGCACCTGGAGCCCTGCACCTGGAGCCCTGCACCAGGAGCCCTGCACCTGGAGCCGTGCACCTGGAGCCCTGCACCTGGAGCCCTGCACCTGGAGCCCTGCACCAGGAGCCCTGCACCTGGAGCCGTGCACCTGGAGCCCTGCACCTGGAGCCCTGCACCTGGAGCACTGCACCTGGAGCCCTGCACCTGGAGCCCTGCACCTGGAGCCCTGCACCAGGAGCCGTGCACCAGGAGCCCTGCACCTGGAGCACTGCACCTGGAGCCCTGCACCTGGAGCCCGGCACCAGGAGCCCGGCACCAGGAGCCCTGCACCTGGAGCCGTGCACCAGGAGCCCTGCACCAGGAGCCGTGCACCTGGAGCCCTGCACCTGGAGCACTGCACCAGGAGCCGTGCACCTGGAGCCCGGCACCAGGAGCCCTGCACCAGGAGCCCTGCACCAGGAGCCCTGCACCAGGAGCCCTGCACCAGGAGCCCTGCACCAGGAGCCCTGCACCAGGAGCCCTGCACCAGGAGCCGTGCACCTGGAGCCGTGCACCTGGAGCCCTGCACCAGGAGCCGTGCACCTGGAGCCCTGCACCAGGAGCCGTGCACCTGGAGCCCTGCACCTGGAGCCCTGCACCAGGAGCCCTGCACCAAGAGCCCTGCACCTGGAGCCGTGCACCAGGAGCCCTGCACCAGGAGCCCTGCACCAGGAGCCCTGCACCAGGAGCCCTGCACCTGGAGCCCTGCACCAGGAGCCCTGCACCAGGAGCCCTGCACCTGGAACCGTGCACCTGGAGCCGTGCACCTGGATCCGTGCACCTGGAGCCGTGCACCTGGATCCCTGCACCAGGAGCCCTGCACCAGGAGCCCTGCACCAGGAGCCCTGCACCTGAAGCCGTGCACCTGGAGCCGTGCACCTGGAGCCGTGCACCTGGAGCCGTGCACCTGGAGCCCTGCACCAGGAGCCCTGCACCTGGAGCCCTGCACCTGGAGCCCTGCACCTGGAGCCCTGCACCTGGAGCCCTGCACCTGGAGCCCTGCACCAGGAGCCCTGCACCAGGAGCCCTGCACCAGGAGCCCTGCACCTGGAGCCCTGCACCAGGAGCCCTGCACCTGGAGCCGTGCACCTGGAGCCCTGCACCTGGAGCCCTGCACCAGGAGCCCTGCACCTGGAGCCGTGCACCAGGAGCCGTGCACCAGGAGCCGTGCACCAGGAGCCCTGCACCTGGAGCCCTGCACCTGGAGCCCTGCACCAGGAGCCCTGCACCAGGAGCCCTGCACCTGGAGCCCTGCACCAGGAGCTCTGCACCTGGAGCCCTGCACCTGGAGCCCTGCACCTGGAGCCCTGCACCTGGAGCCCTGCACCAGGAGCCCTGCACCAGGAGCCCTGCACCAGGAGCCCTGCACCAGGAGCCCTGCACCAGGAGCCCTGCACCTGGAGCCCTGCACCTGGAGCCCTGCACCTGGAGCCGTGCACCTGGAGCCGTGCACCTGGAGCCGTGCACCTGGAGCCCTGCACCAGGAGCCCTGCACCAGGAGCCCTGCACTTGGAGCCCTGCACCAGGAGCCCTGCACCTGGAGCCCTGCACCAGGAGCCCTGCACCTGGAGCCGTGCACCTGGAGCCGTGCACCTGGAGCCCTGCACCAGGAGCCCTGCACCTGGAGCCCTGCACCAGGAGCCCTGCACCAGGAGCCGTGCACCTGGAGCCGTGCACCTGGAGCCGTGCACCTGGAGCCGTGCACCTGGAGCCGTGCACCAGGAGCCGTGCACCAGGAGCCCTGCACCAGGAGCCCTGCACCAGGAGCCCTGCACCAGGAGCCCTGCACCTGGAACCGTGCACCTGGAGCCCTGCACCTGGAGCCCTGCACCAGGAGCCCTGCACCAGGAGCCCTGCACCAGGAGCCCTGCACCTGGAGCCCTGCACCAGGAGCCCTGCACCTGGAGCCCTGCACCAGGAGCTGTGCACCAGGAGCCCTGCACCAGGAGCCGTGCACCAGGAGCCCTGCACCAGGAGCCCTGCACCTGGAGCCCTGCACCAGGAGCCCTGCACCAGGAGCCCTGCACCAGGAGCCCTGCACCAGGAGCCCTGCACCTGGAGCCCTGCACCAGGATCCCTGCACCAGGAGCCCTGCACCTGGAGCCCTGCACCAGGAGCCCTGCACCAGGAGCCCTGCACCAGGAGCCCTGCACCTGGAGCCCTGCACCAGGAGCCCTGCACCTGGAGCAGGACTACCACAAGCCCCTCACTACCACAAGCCCTTCACTACCACAAGCCCTTCACTACCACAAGCCCTTCACTACCACAAGCCCTTCACTACCACAAGCCCTTCACTACCACAAGCCCTTCACTACCACAAGCCCTTCACTACCACAAGCCCTTCACTACCACAAGCCCTTCACTACCAAATCTTGCCCACATCTCAAGTTACTGGGAAGGGGAAACCACGCATGGTAGAAAGTGAGAAGTGTGGTGTCCAGGGTAAATAAGATGGGCCTGTGATGGCCGGATGTTGATGGGGCACGCGCCCACGCACGCGCGCGCGCACGCACACACACACACACACACACACACACACACACACACACACACACACACACACACACACCTGGGAGAAGTGCAGTGGGAGGAAGAAATCAGAGGAAAAACAGTGCAAGGTATGATGAACCAAGTTATATGGAAATGTAAGGAGGCTGAAGAGAGATTTATTCCAACAGTAAAGAAAAAAAGCAGGAGGGAATATAATAACCCATGGTTTAATAGACAGTGTCAGGAAGCACAAGTGAGAAGCAGGAGGGAGTGGAGGAAGTACAGAAGACAAAGGACAGAGGACAACAGGATTAGATGTAACAGAGCTAGGAACGATTACATTAACATAAGACGAGTGTTGGAAAGAAATTATGAGAATGGTATTGCAGTCAAAGCGAAAAAGCAACCAAAATTACTACATAGCCATATAAGAAGGAAGATGTCGGTAAATGACCAAGTGACAAGACTGAGGAAAACAGAAGAGGCATATACAGAAAGTGACAAGGAAATCTGCGAGGTAATGAATGCCAGTTTCCAAGGAGTATTCACAACCGAGCCTGAGCAGCTCCCATTGTTGGAAGAGATTACCCTAGATGAAAGACTATCAGATATAGAGGTGACAGCAGAGGAGGTAATGAAACAGTTGACAACACTGGATGCAACTTATGCGGTTGGACCAGACAAAGTATCACCGTGGATACTAAAAGAGGCAGTGCAGGCCCTCAGCGTGCCTCTGGCAAGGATCTTTAATGAATCACTTATGTCGGGGAAATTGCCCAGTTGCTGGAAGGAGGCAAATGTCGTACCGATTTTCAAGAAAGGTGATACGGAGGAGGCACTTAACTACAGACCCGTATCACTGACAAGCATCCCCTGCAAAATACTTGAAAGAATAATTAGGCTAAGACTTGTTGAGCACATGGAGAGCATTGGGTTTGTAAACAAGCACCAACACGGGTTCTGAACAGGGAAATCATGCCTAACAAACCTTTTAGAATTTTATGATAGAGTGACAAGGATAAGGCAGGACAGAGAAGGCTGGGCAGACTGCATTTTTCTGAACTGCCAAAAGGCCTTTGATACAGTACCGCACATGAGACTGCTTTACAAACTTGAGAGGCAGGCAGGAGTAAGCGGAAAGGCCCTAGCATGGGTAAGGAACTACCTAACAGGAAGAAGCCAAGGGGTAATGGTAAGGGGCGAAAAGTCGGACTGGCGAACAGTAACGAATGGAGTACCTCAAGGATCGGTGCTGGGACCAATCCTCTTCCTAATTTACGTAAATGATATGTTTACAGGAGTGGAATCCTACATGTCAATGTTTGCGGATGACGCAAAATTAATGAGAAGAAGTGTGACAGATGAGGATTGTAGGATCCTCCAAGAGGACTTAAACAGGTTACAGAGATGGTCAGAATGAAATGGCTACTGGAGTTTAACACGAGTAAATGTAAAGTTCTGGAAATGGGATCAGGTTGTAGGCGACCAAAGGGACAGTACACAATGAAAGGGAACTGCCTACCTGTAACGATTCGAGAAAGAGACCTGGGAGTGGACGTAACACCTAATCTAACTCCTGAGGTACATATAAATAGGATAACGACAGCAGCGTACTCTACACTGGCGAAAATTAGAACTTCATTTAGAAACCTAAGTGAGAAGGCTTTTAGGGCGCTTTACAGTGCCTACGTGAGACCAGTCTTAGAGTATGCCGCGCCATCATGGAGTCCCCACCTGAAGAAACACATAAGGAAACTGGAGAAGGTTCAGAGGTTTGCGACGAGGCTCGTCCCAGAGTTACGAGGGATGGGATATGAAGAGCGTCTGAAGGAACTGAACCTTACGACACTAGAGAAAAGAAGGGAGAGAGGAGATATGACAGAGACATATAAAATACTCAGGGGAATTGACAAAGTGGAAATAGATGAAATGTTCACACGTAATAATAACAGAACGAGGGGACATGGGTGGAAACTGGAAACTCAGATGAGTCACAGAGATGTTAGGAAGTTTTCTTTTAGCGTGAGAGTAGTGGAAAAATGGAATGCACTTGGGGAACAGGTTGTGGAAGCAAATACTATTCATAATTGTCAATTCTTTTTCCATCTGTTGTGTGTGTGTTTTTACCATTTGTGTCTCCAGGGTCGAGCTATTAGCTCTTGGATCCCGCCTTTCTAACCAATCTACTTTTCCTCAATTATATCTACTACGTATATTTCTCTGTAACACACACACATACACAGGTTCAACCTGTGGTTGGGTTCAACCCAAGAAAATGTAAGGTAATGAAACTAGGCGGTGGAAACAGGAGGCCAGACACAGGATACAGAATGGGAGATGAAGTACTTCATGAATCGGACAGAGTGAAAGATCTAGGAGTTGATATCACGCTAAACCTGTATCCTGAAGCCCACATCAAAAGAATAACATCGGCGGCGTATGCGAGGCTGGCTAACATCAGAACAGCGTTTAGGAACCTGTGTAAGGAATCATTCAAAATCTTGTATTCCACATATGTAAGACTAATGTGGCCTGGAGTATGCGGCCCCAGCATGGAGCCCGTACCTTGTCAAGCACAAGACGAAGCTGGAAAAAGTTCAGAGGTATGCCACTAGACTAGTCCCGGAGCTAAGAGGCATGAGTTACGAGGAAAGGCTGCGGGAAATGCACCTTACGACACTGGAAGACAGAAGAGTAAGGGTAGACATGATCACTACCTACAAAATTCTCAGAGGAATTGACAGGGTAGATAAGGATAAACTGTTTATCACTGGTGGTGCGCGAGAAGAAGACACAGGAGGAAACTGAGTACCCACATGAGCCACAGAGACGTTAGAAAGAACTTTTTCAGTGTCACAGTAGTTAACAGATGGAATGCATTAGGCAGTGATGTGGTGGAGGCTGACTCCATACACAGTTTCAAGTGTAGATATGATAGAGCCCAATAGGCTCAGGAACCTGTACACCTGTTGATTGACACTTGAGAGGTGGGACCAAAGAACCAGAGCTCAACCCCCGCAAACACAACTAGGTGAGTACACGCTCACACTCGCGCACACAGAGACACGCACACACACACACGCACAAACACACAAACACACAAACACACACACACACACACACACACACACACACACACACACACACACACACACACACACACACACACACACACAAAACACAAATGTAATCAACATCTCACACAATCAGATTCCTCTGTTGTACAATCAGATCCAGCAGCAGCAGTGCGGAACTAGGCAAGGAGGGGCCTGAAGCCGCTCTTAATTCTAATTCTCCATTAATTCCCCATTAACCCCCCCCCCCCCCCGAGCGAGAATTAGCATCCCCCCCCCTCATCCCATCAGACTATGAAAATGTCACGTGATCACCAGCGCGCATAATGAATTAGGAGTGTCCTTTACCCCCGGTATGGTTAATTGGTGGTCTGATTGTCCGGTGTGTGTTATATCTGGTGCTGCCAGGTACATGTCCTCCCACGCCTCAACCTCCTCTTCCTCCTCCTCCTCTTCCTCCTACAATTCCTCTTCCTCCTTCACCCCCTCTTCCTCCTCCACCTCTACCCACGTTAGTTCCTCGACAAATCTCTCTCTCTCCCATGCCTCCCCTCTCTCTCCCATGCCTCCCCTCTCTCTCCCATGCCTCCCCTCTCTCTCCCATGCCTCCCCTCTCTCTCCCATGCCTCCCCTCTCTCTCCCATGCATCCCCTCTCTCTCCCATGCCTCCCCTCTCTCCCATGCCTCTCCTCTCTCTCCCATGCCTCTCCTCTCTCTCCCATGCCTCCCCTCTCTCTCCCATGCCTCCCCTCTCTCTCCCATGCCTCCCCTCTCTCTCCCATGCCTCCCCTCTCTCTCCCATGCCTCCCCTCTCTCTCCCATGCCTCCCCTCTCTCTCCCATGCCTCCCCTCTCTCTCCCATGCCCCCCTCTCTCTCCCATGCATCCCCTCTCTCTCCCATGCCTCCCCTCTCTCCCATGCCTCTCCTCTCTCTCCCATGCCTCTCCTCTCTCTCCCATGCCTCCCCTCTCTCTCCCATGCCTCCCCTCTCTCTCCCATGCCTCCCCTCTCTCTCCCATGCCTCCCCTCTCTCTCCCATGCCTCCCCTCTCTCTCCCATGCCTCCCCTCTCTCTCCCATGCCTCCCCTCTCTCTACCATGCCTCCCCCTCTCTCTCCCATGCCTCCCCTCTCTCTCCCATGCCTCCCCTCTCTCTCCCATGCCTCCCCTCTCTCTCCCATGCCTCCCCTCTCTCTCCCATGCTCTCCCATGCCTCCCCTCTCTCTCCCATGCCTCCCCTCTCTCTCCCATGCCTCCCCTCTCTCTCCCATGCCTCCCCTCTCTCTCCCATGCCTCCCCTCTCTCTCCCATGCCTCCCCTCTCTCTCCCATGCCTCCCCTCTCTCTCCCATGCCTCCCCTCTCTCTCCCATGCCTCCCCTCTCTCTCCCATGCCTCCCCTCTCTCTCCCATGCCTCCCCTCTCTCTCCCATGCCTCCCCTCTCTCTCCCATGCCTCCCCTCTCTCTCCCATGCCTCTCCTCTCTCTCCCATGCCTCCCCTCTCTCTCCCATGCCTCGCCTCTCTCCCATGCCTCCCCTCTCTCCCTTGCCTCCCCTCTCTCTCCCATGCCTCTCCTCTCTCTCCCATGCCTCTCCTCTCTCTCCCATGCCTCTCCTCTCTCTCCCATGCCTCCCCTCTCTCTCCCATGCCTCCCCTCTCTCTCCCATGCCTCCCCTCTCTCTCCCATGCCTCCCCTCTCTCTCCCATGCCTCGCCTCTCTCTCCCATGCCTCGCCTCTCTCTCCCATGCCTCCCTCTCTCTCTTCCATGCCTCTCCTCTCTCTCCCATGCCTCTCTTCTCTCTCCCATGCTCTCTCCCATGCCTCCCCTCTCTCTCCCATGCCTCCCTCTCTCTCCCATGCCTCATGCCTCTCTCTCCCATGCCTCT